CCAACAGAATTTAGAGAGATGTGATGCCGTATGATGCCACAGTGGCCCAGAGGGGAGAATGTGGGCATTCACAGCGACTCTTGACATAGCATTTGGTTAAATTGTCTTTCATTACACTTTCAAACCAACAAATAAAAAGTTTTTTGGACTATGTTTCAAAATAATCTAATGAATACCCATGAACAAACCATTAAGCAATGACATTAAAAACATATACATTTGAAATCCTTGTGTATTCTGCTACAATCACACTCCCCTGTTTCCTTGTCCTAACCACCCCTAACTGAGAGTACCCATTATGGTGTTTTTCAGTTGAAACATCTCTCTACTTTAATCACATATACGCATATGGCCGAATAACACATAATATGATTTTATTTACTTTCAAATTTCTTATGAAATAGATGCTGTATGGTTGAGTGGCAAACCACGCAAGAATGGTTCTCATGATTCCCACCCCCTAGGCTTATCGCCTCGACATCCCTTTTCCTTTGACTGAGGGTAGAACCTGTGACTTGAGTCTAACCAACAGAATATGGCAAAGGTGTCATGAACTTGATTAGGTTACAGTATATGGCCAATGTGCATCAAGACCACACGACATTAATTAAGACTTGCGTCTCTTTGCCGACTTGATGAACTAAGAAATTATGTCTCTGGACCTATGGGCAGCTGATAACCCGTAGCTCGCTACAACCTGGGCCACCGATTGCAGCTTTCAGATGAAAGCTCAGTGTAACCCAAGGTAAAGAAGAACCCCAGTCCTCCCATCACCATACATGGGGAAAAGATGACATTGTCCAGGGGTTTATTTTACTTGGGTCCATAAGCAATGCCTATGGAAGCAGCAGCTGAGAAATCAGTGTATTTCATTGGGAAAATCTACCGTAAAAAACCTCTTTAAAGGGTTAAAAAACAAAGATGTCACTTTGAAGACGAAGGTACACCTGAACCAAGCCATCATATTTTCTTTTTTTTTGCTTGGGTGACATCTTTTTTTTTTTTTTTAACATTTTATTAGGGGCTCATACAACTGTTATCCCAATCAAGCCATCATATTTTCAAGCACCGTGTATGCACTGGAAAGCTGGACAATATAAAGGATATACGATGGACAGTATAAAGGACGGTATAGAGGAAAATGATGAAGAAATGGTGTCTGTGAATTTTGGTGTTGGCAAAGAATCTTGAAAGTGCCATGGTCTGCCGAGGAACAAACAAATCTGTCCTGGAGGAAGTGCAGCCAGAATGCTCCTTCAAAGAGAGGACGGGGAGCCTTCATGTCCGGCCCCTTGGACACGTTCTCTGGGGGCACGAGTCCTGACAGAAGGACCCCATGCTGGTAAAGTATAAAAAGAGAAAGCGCCTCAGGTGCTGGGTCCACACATTGGCTGCAACAACGGCCTCGACTCTCACAATCACCGTGAGGAAGGCACGGGCCTGGGTAGTGTTTGCTTCTGATGGACGTGGCATCGGGAGGCGTCCGAACTGTCTCAGCAGCACTTTCCAACAACAGGCTATGAACAGACACCTTCAGGGATAAAGCCAAACCCAAACTCA